GATCTCTTGACCTCGTGATCCACCCGCCTCGGCCTCCCAAAGTGCTGGGATTACAGGCTTGAGCCACCGCGCCCGGCCCAATTTTTGTATTTTTTGTAGAGACTGGGTTTCACCATGTTGCCCAGGCTGGTCTTGAACTCCTGGGTTCAAGTGATCCACTGCCTTGGCCTCCCAAAGCGCTGGGATTACGGGTGTGAGCCACCGCGCCCAGCCTTATGTATATTTTATATGAAGTATTTTCCTGTATGGTTTCACATACTCCAAATACACTTGTTTTAAATCTCGTGACTACCCGCTCCTCTGCCTAGACTTCTTGCATGAAATGGTTTCTGACCTTTTTCTTTCTCTGAAGCCCAGCTTATTCATTATAAATAGGTACCTGCATCTGGCTCCCTTGTCTTGAGGTAGTTGTGATGAAGCATTTCCACCTGGAAATGCAGATTGTTCTGCTAGAAACCTTTTCTTTAGGCTGGGCACAGTGGCTCATGTCTGCAATCCCAGCACTTTGGGAGGCTGAGGCTTGAGGTGGGGAGTTTGAGACCAGCCTGGCCAACATGGCAAAACTCCGTCTCTACTAAAAATACAATTAGCTGGGCATTGTCGCATGCACCTGTAGTCCCAGCTACTCAGGAGGCTGAGGCAGGACGCTTGAACCCAGGAGGCAGAGATTGCAGTGAGCCAAGATCACGCCACTGCACTCCAGCCTGGCTGACAGAGCAAGACTCCGTCTCAAAAAAAAAAAAAAAAAGAAAAAGAAAAAGAAATCTTTTCTTTGTAAAACAGCTTGGACTTTATACTGGAGTTTTGGGAAGCAAACACATAGGCCAGTTTGTTAATGAAGAGCAAACACTTCCTCTGTTCCAGGCACACTGTTCTAAGTCTTTCCACACAGAGCAACTGAGTGAATCCTCATGGCAGCGCTAAGCAGTCAGCACTCTCATGATCCCCGTTTTACAGGAGGGGAAACTGAGGCATGGAGAAGGTAAGGAACCTGCTCTAGGTCACACAGTCAGGGCAGAGGTGGGGTCTGAACCTGGATCTCTGGCTTCAGGTGCATGGACCAAACTCTGAGGCTAGAAGATCTCTCTTCCATTGCCTAAGAATTTCACATCAGCAGAAATTAAGGGGATGTAACAAAGTATCTGCGGATTCTGATACCTTTCTTTCTCTTTCCCTCTTTCTCTTTCCTTCCCTCCTTTCTCTCCCTTTCTTTCTTTCCTTCTTTCTTTTCTTTTTTTCCTTTTCCTTTTCTTTTCTTTTACTTTCCTGGAGTGTCGCTCTGTCACCCAGGCTGGAGTGTGGTGGGACCATCTCGGCTCACTGCAACCCCCACCTCCTCCCAGGTTCAAGCGATTCTCCTGCCTCAGCCTCCCAAGTAGCTGGGACTACAGGCGCACACCACCACGCCCGGCTAATTTTTGTATTTTTACTAGAGATGGGGTTTCACCATGTTGGCCAGGCTGGTCTCGAACTCCTGACCTCAAGTGATATGCCTGCCTCGACCTCTCAAAGTGCTGGGATTACAGGCGTGAGCCACCACACCTGGCCTCAAAGGCCTTTTTGAAAGCCAAAGTCAGGACACCATTCATTTTAACAGCACCTTAGACTGTATGATCTATCTCTGCACACTGTCCACCGTGGCAGATGGGAATATCTCTCCTCTTTCTCCTCTTTCTGAGCCCTGTCTTCTGGGGTCACTGTCTCTCCTCTCCTCACTGTGGCTTCTGATCCCTCCCTCACATATCCTCCTCCTTCATACAAAATCCACAAAGCAATTTTCTGTCTCTAGCTTCAGATCCTTCCTGGGAAGAAACCTGACAGATAGGCAAAAATAGATTACACACATGTGTGAATGAGTCCTGGACACCCGCAAATAAATTATGCATGTGTGTGACTGAATTAGGCCAGGCCCATAAATAAATTATGCAAATGGAGGAGGCAGTCATGGGCTGTGGGAAATACTTCAGGCAAACGATGTCGAGGAAGGCTACATAGTATGCAGGTGAAGGCAGGGGCGAGCGAAAGGCTAATGATTATGAGAATATAGGTGTAAATTATGCAGCTGTGGGTCTAAATTTTGTCTCGAGACTGGAATAAATTATGCAAAGCGGCCACCGGGCTTACATCGACGTTGGGTTGGATGGAGTATACATTACACTGAAGTGGCATAAATTATCCCAACATCAGAAATTGACGATGAATAATGAATGAATGATGCAAACGGTGATTACATATCTGGCAAATAGCTAAATTATGCAGATGTGGGTATGTATCTAGGCGAGCCCGGGGATAAATGATGCAAACCGCACCAAGTTACTCAAGCCAATTAGCAATGTCAGAAAACACAAGGCTGGATTATAAGACAAGGGTGGTATGAATTATGCGAATAGAGGATGTCTTCCTGCAAGAGCGGGAATAAATTATGCAAAAGGTAGGCAGTGTAGGGAAGCGTGTGAACACACCTAGCATGCACTGCACAGATCACAGGGACTCTGTCAGCGCATGCAACACCCTTGTGGGAGCTCAAAGGTGCCCTTTCCAAATGAGCATACTGTTATTTATTTATTTATCTTTTTGGGACGGAGTCTCGCTCTGTTGCCCAGGCTGCAGTGCAGTGGTGTGATCTCGGCTCACCGCAAACTCCGCCTCCAGGGTTCAAGCAATTCTCCTGCCTCAGCCTCCCGAGTAGCTGGGACTACAAGCGCGCACCACCACGCCCAGCTAATTTTTTGTATTTTTAGGAGAGATGGGGTTTCACTATGTTAGTCAGGATGGTCTCGAACTCCTGACCTCTTGATCTGCCCGCCTTGGCCTCCCAAAGTGCTGGGATTATGAGCATGAATCACAGCGCCTGGCCCATGAGCCTACTGTTATTAAGTGCAAAACAGTGCCCTCCTCTGGGCAAATAAGTGCACCCTCCACAGACATGGCTGAGCAGCATCAGCAGGACTCCAGCCCCTCCGGCAAGACTTGCCCCGTTTTGGCTCAATCCCCTTGTGCAGCCTGTGACCTGCACAACCTACCTGGCAGCCCTCTTGGATGGCAGCGTGCATTTCTGCAAACACACCAAGCAACATTCCAAACCAAGAGCCACCTCTCTGCATGCTGCAGACACACATGCACCAAGGAAGCATCCATGGGTCTTTGCTCACCTGGACCACCCCCGGGGAGAAAACAGCGAGGATGAGATAAAGCCAGACGTAGGCGAAGATGCTCCAAGAGGCAGTGACGAAAAAGACTCTCAGGTGCTTGATCTTGCGGCTCTCGCCGGCTGGGATGACGTAGATGCAGACGGCGATGACCACAAACATGTTGAAGGCAGCGCTGCCCACGATGGTGCCCGGGCCCAGCTCGCCTGCCTGGAAGTTGTGGCCGCAGACCTCGATGACGGAGAGCAGGATCTCGGGGGCGGAGGAGCCCAGGGCCATGAGCGTGAGGTTGGACACTGTCTCATTCCAGATGCGAACGGTGCCCACGCTGGTCTCGCCGTTGGCCTTGGTGATGGTGATCTCCTTCTCCTTCGACGTGATGACCTCGATGGCCGCCATGAAGCGGTCGGCAATGATGGACACGCCCAGGAACATGTAGACCATGGCCACGAAGTAGACCACTGCCCGCGCCGCCTTGTCACCCAGAGATGGGTCGTCGGGCTCCCACACGGGCAGCAGCACCCCCGGCTGGCAGCGGTAGGAGCCCTGGCAGCCCCCTGTGCTGGTGTCGCTGTCATTGGCCGGGGGAGGCGGCAGGGAGGGGGTTGGGGTGGCTGCCCCGGAGCATGGGGGAGCCGCCAGGAGGAGTGCGACCCCCACCAAGGCCAGGGGAGCCATGGGGGGCGGTGGGGTCCTATGGGGGAGAGGAGGAGGAGGTCTGGGTGAGGGGAACAAACCCCTTTCTGTCACATAAAGGTCAAAGCTCATTGGGGGAGGAGGGTTGGGGAAGAAGCTGAGGACCAGTGGAGGGAGGATGGGGACAGAGGGTGACAGAGACACAGAGAGACACACAGACTTCGGGACAGACCCAGAGAGAGACAGTGAGCTGAGATGGCACTACCGTATGCCAGCCTGGGCGGCAGAGTGAGACTTCATCTCAAAAACAAAACAAAAAAAAGGAATGTTCAGAGCAGCTTTATTTATAATAGCGTCAATCTTTATTTTACTTTATTCTTTTGAGACAGTCTCATACTGTCACCCAGGCTGGAGTGCAGTGGTGTGATCTTGGCTCACTGCAGCTTCCGCCTTCCAGGTTCAAGTGATTCTCCTGCCTCAGCCTCCTGAGTAGCTGGGATTATGGGCACCTGCCACCACGCCCAGCTAATTTTTGTATCTTTAGTAGAGATGGGGTTTCACCATGTTGGCCAGGCTGGTCTCAAACTCCTGAACTTGTGATTCGCCTACCTCGGCCTCCCGAAGTGCTGGGATAACAGATGTAAGCCACCACGCCCAGCCAATAGCATCAATCTTGAAACAACCCAGAGGCCTAGCAGCAGTAAAATGGAGAAATACATTTGGAGGAATCACCCAGTGGAATATTATAGAGCACTGAAAAGGGAGTGAACTATTTGCTGCTGCACCCGCCACACGGATGAATCTCACAGATATCACAGTGGCTGAATGCAGCCAGGAAGAAAAGCACACCGACTGTAAAATTCACTGTGGGAGGCAGGGAGCAGGTGCCCTGGGTTTGGAGGAGATTCTAACAGTCTCCAGCTGGGCCCTTTGAGAGTTCTTGCTCAGGATTTGGGCTGTGGCGGTGTTGGGGTATGTGTCTGTCTGTTTCAAGTGGGGCTGGGAAGGGGCTTCTGGAGGGTCTCATTCATGTCCCTCCCCAAGGTGGCAGGAAGCATCAGTCTCTCCAGCATTCCTGTGTCTGACCTGGGCTTTTTCCCAGGCTCTGTAAGTTTCACAGTTCCTTAGGGGCTGTGGCATCCATGGTCCTGTGCTGGGCTTTCTGTCCCAATAGTGGGGTGTGGGGGCCCTACTGTTTTATTATTTCTCTCCCTGCCCCTGGTGCTGGGTTTCAGGGGCTATTCCCGTGTGTTATCTGGGTTTCCTTTTAAAATACAAATTGCCAGGCACGGTGGCTCACACCTGTAATCTCAGCACTTTGAGAGGCCGAGGCGTGTGGATCACTTGAGGTCAGGAGTTTGAGACCAGCCTGGGCAACATGATGAAACCCCCTCTCTACTAAAAACAAAATAAAAAAAAAATATTAGCCAGGCGTGGTGGTGTGTGCCTGTAGTCCCAGCTACTGGGGAGGCTGAGGAATGAGAATCACTTGAGCCGGGGAGGTGAAGGTTACAGTGAGCCAAGATCATGCTACTGCACTCCAGCCTGGGCGACAGAAGCAGATTCTGTCTCACAAACAAAACTAACGGTGGCTCATGCCTGTAATCCCAGCACTTTGTGAGGCTGAGGTGAATGGATCACGAGGTCAGGAGTTTGAGACCAGCCTGACCAGCCTGACCAACCTGGTGAAACCCTGTCTCTACTAAAAATACAAACAATTAGCTGGGCGTGGTGGCGTGCACCTGTAATCCCAGCTACTCAGGAGGCTGAGGCAGGAGAATCACTTGAACCGGGGAGGTGGAGGTTGCGGTGAGCCGAGATCGCGCCACGGCACTCCAGCCTGGGCGACAGAGCAAGACTCGGTATCAACAACAACAAAAACCCCAAACAATAAAAAGCCCACAAATCAGCTCACATCCTCCCTCCGCTGTTCAGAACCCTCCATGGCTCCCATATCACTCAGAGTGGCAACGTTCTCCAGGACCCGTGAGGCCCTGCACTATCTGGCCCGAATCCCTTTCTGGCCTGTTTTCCTGCACTCCCCGCCTCACCCAGTCCACCTCTGCCACCGTCTCCTCCCCTCTGCTCCTCAGCCTCGACAGACAAGCTTCTGCCTTGGAGCCCTGGCACCCGCTGTTCCCCCTTCCTCGGACACACTGCTCTCTCTCTATGTATTTTTGAGACAGGGTCTCACTCTGTCACCCAGACCAGAATGCAGTGGCATGATCACAGCTCACTGCAGCCTCGACCTCCAGGGCTCAAGAAATCCTCCCTCCTCAGCCTCCCAAGGTGCTGGAACTGCAGGCATGCACCACCACCATGCCCAGCGAATTTTTTGTAGAGCTGGGAGTCTCTGTTGCCCAGACTGTCAGGCTGTTCTTGAACTCCTGGGTTCAAGCGCTCCTCCTGCCTTGGCCTCCCAAAGTGCTGGGATCACAGGCGCGTGCTACCGTGCCCGGCCCACTCTTCTCCACAAATCCACTAGCCTTGCTCCCTCCTCCCTTTCAGGTTTCCACTCTGATGTCACCTTCCCCAAACACCCTATCCAAAATGACGCCCTCCCCCTTTGGGGAGCGCCCCTCCACTCCACAGGTGAGAGGGCCAAGGCACAAAGAGGTTACAGAAGCAGCACCCACTCTGGTCCCAGGTCGCCTCTCCAAGAGTGGTCCTGACTCTGAGCTCCTCTGACCCGCCCTCGCGTTGCCATGGTAACCCAGCATCAAAACAGGAGGGAGGGAGAGAAAAAGGGAGGTGTCCTGGGAGCCTCCACCCTCCCAGACCCCTCTGCCACCAGCCTCTTCTCCTAGGGACTTTCACTTGCCTGAAAAGTTCTTCTGTGAGTCTAACCCACAGCCTGTCCCCAACTCACACCCACGTACCCACGGGCTGGGAGCTGGCTCCTCTGGGGGAGGGAGGCAGCATGTTGGCAGAACTTCCCAAGAAGGAGAGAGCAAGCGAGGAAAATGCCTGTGTGCCACTGTGTGTGTGTGCAAGGGCGGGGGAGAGGGGTGATTCTTAAAGGGCCACTGCACAATTAGCCCCCTTGGCAAGGCCCCCTAATGATATGTCTAATTAGCAGCCCCCTAATTAGCAGCAACTTAGGCATAATTACAAGCCCACCAGGATCCACAGCAAAGACTCATGCTCCCGTCTCCAAACAGGGGCCAGCGGGAGTAGAGAATTCTTCTAAAGCATCGAACCAAATCCCGCTCTCTCTGGAGGGAGCCTCAGCCTGGGAAGTCCTCCCTCGGGTTTAACCACCTGTCTGTCCCTCTGGCTGCAGTCCTCCAGCGAGATCAGGGCCAGGTGATGGGGGTTCCCATGTCCACCCTCCTAGCCTAGGGGCTGGGTCAAGCACAGCCTAGTGCAAACCCTTTTTCCTGCAAAACCTGGTTTCTTCTCCCTGGAGCCTTGGGGGAGGGGCGGTCGGAGAGAGAAAGCACTAGATAAATATTTGTGAAATGAATGACCAAGAGGTCTGAGCCCTGTCACTGGGGACCATGGGCTCCTGTGCTCCTGGCTCCTGCCTCTGCCTCTCCACTCACCAGCAGCCCTGAAATCCAATCTGGTTTTAGAATCTAGGGGCAAAAGGATCAGGTGGAGTCCAGGGTGGGAGCGGGGAGGGCAGATGGCAGGTACCGGCTCCCAGGGCCATTTCTCCCCTGCCTCGAGGGCTCTCGGCCAGCTGGGTCAGCGGTGAGCACCCCATTCCACCTTGTGGGTCCTTGGTCAGAAGAGCTGGGCTGCCTCCCTGACGGTGGGTGCAGTCTGGCATGCCAGGTAAGCCCTCTCTTGCATGTCCCTCATGCTGCCACCCCACCGCGGGACGGAGGCAGGTTAGTCACCTGTCTGTGCCTGTGTTGGGGTGCTGGCCCTTGCAGGACCGAGGTGGGGACTAAGACTTCTTCTAAACATGCACACTTACTGCCCCCGCGTGAGCCCACTACCTCAAAATGGTCCGGTGTGGGGACCACACCAGAGCTTGAGTGCTTGGGGCTGTGATACACTGATAATAGGTAAACTGAGGTCCATCGGAGGAACAGGGCTCTTAACCTAGTGCTCTTTAAAGCCATCGGAAGCCCCCTACGGGCACTGTCACACAGGGCTGGGACCTCACCTGCAACCAGGGACACACACTCTCTCTCTCTCTCTCACACACACACACACACACACACACACACCAGGGCTCCAGGTAGAGCTTCATACATTTTCCTCATTGCTCACTCTCGCCCACCTTCTTCAGGGCCCTCTTCTCTCACGGAAAGCAGACAGTATATTGGCCAGGGCCGCCTCAGTGGCCCCCCAAGTGGTGGTGGAGAAGCTTTTGAGATCCACCCCCACTGAGACAGGTGTGAGGTTGGCACGCCAGGAAAGAGATGGAAGTGAGACCGCAAGAAGGACTGGCCCCGCCTGACCTAGTACGCAGTGCCTGCTGACCGGAGCAGGAAAGGCAGTCAGCCATTACCAAAAAGAATGAATGAATGAAGAGCTGGACAAACAGCAAGAGGTATGGAAGTTGGACGGTAGGAAGGACCGGTCCAGTTATGTGAGGAGGAACGGTGAGGCTGGACTGAAGGGAAGTCTGGTGTCGTCTCTACTCAAAAGGATCCTGGTTAAACTGCTAGGACGGGGCTTCAGGCGCGGGGTGGCGGGGCGGGGGTGGGGTGGGGGGGTGGGGTGGGGGTGGGCTCAGTTCGGGGGAGGGCTGGGGGAGTGGGCTCAGTTCGGGGGAGGGCTGGGGTGGGTGCCGGCTGGGAGGAACGGAGAGAGTGGGGAGCTCTGCGGAAGTGGCTAGAGGAGTTTGCCGGGCTCCAGGCACGGGGGAAGCCCACTCTGCGGGGGGCGGGGGACACGGGGGAGGGGGGTCTTCTTCCTCCAGGTCTCCCCTGCCAGGGGCGGAGACGAAGGTGTGTGGGAGGAGGGTGCACTGGTTCCCAGGGAGAGCCAGAGAAAAGGAAAGAGAGAGAAACAGACTGAGACACCCAGAGACAGAGATGGAGAAGGAGGGGAGAGAGAGAGAGACTAGGGACAGACACGCGGACATGGGAAGAGACAGACAGAGACACAGGGAAGCCGAGACAGGGGAGAGGCAGAGACACAGAGGAACAGAGATGGCGCAAGAGGAAAGCAGAGAGGAACCCAGGACTCAGAGACAGAGCCCCGGAGAGACTCAGAACAGACCCCAGCACAGAGATACAGAGACACAGAGGGAGACAGGAGTGAGACACTGAGAGACAGGGACTCCCAGAGGCCGCCAGACTCTGCTAGACAGAGATCCCTGAGAGATGCAGAGAGACAGAAAGATGAGACCGAGACACAGGAAGGCGGGGGCGGAGGTGGAGAGCGCGGGGGGGGGGTAGGGGGGAGGTGCCCCAGACGGGGTGGGGGCGGGGTGTTCTCGTCCCCCAGGATCCAGGCGCCCCCCTCTTCCCAGCCGCCTGAGAACCAGAAGGGCTGAAGGTGTTGGGGTGGCTGGTGGCACTCCCACCCCACAGAAGGTACCTGTGCCGGGCCAGGCAGCCCCCCACCTCCATAAACCAGCCCAGGGAAACCAGCACCCGGCTTCCCGAGCCGCCCCCACTCAGCGCCTGGGGTAACCCAGTCCTTTTCCCACGCCCCCACCTCCCCACCAATGGGGTCTCTTACCTGCAGCTACAGCCTGGAGCAGGTCCCCCCAGCGCTCGGCTGGCAGTGGTGGGCGACTCCGCCCGAAGGAGAGAGAGAGATTGAGAGAGAGAAAAGCCGGAGACTGAGAGGGAGAGCCCGGAGGAGGGGAGGGAGAGGGGATAGAGGGAGGAGAGGAGGAGAGGGGAGGGACACGGGGGAGGGGGAGTCGGCGAGGGAGCGAGGGAGGAGGGAGGGGGAGGAGCCGGAGAGAGGGGGAGGAGGCGGAGGCGGGCAGAGGGGAGGCCGCGCGGGAGGCGGGGGAGGCCCGGGGAGGGGCCTGGGGAGCAGGGCGGGAGGAGCAGGGAGCCCGAGCCTCCTCCCCAGCCTCCGGGTTCAGCACCAGAGGCAGGGGACAGCAACGGAGGGCGCGCCTGTGTTTCAGAAGCAGCCCCCGCCCCCCAACACACACACACACACACACACACACACACGCACAGTCTCCCAGCCATACAAGGGCCAACAGCTACAAATAGTTACAGACTCACAGAACTAGGGGGAGGGCAAGAATGTTTTAGCTGGAGCCAGATCCAAATTCACATGCTGTGCCTGCACAGCCTCACAAAGGCCGGAGACAACCGCAAAGACACCCATTAATAATCATAACAGCCGCTGCCATGCATACAGGCGGCCCTGACCACATGCCTGGCATCGCCATCACATTGTTATTATTATTTGAGACAGGGTCTCACTCTGTCACCCAGGCTGGAGTGCAGTGGCACGATCCCGGCTCACAGCAGCCTCAACCCCCTGGGCTTAAGCAATGCTCCTGCCTCAGCCTCCCGAGTAGCTGGGACTACAGGTGACCTCCATCACCACGCCAGGCTTTTTCCCTCCATTTTTTTTTAAAAGACAGGGTCTCACTATGTTACCCAGGCTGGTCTCCAGCTCCTGGGGTCAAGCAATCCTTCCACCGCCTCAGCTTCCCACAGCGCTAGGATTACAGGTGAGAGTCACCATACCTGGCATGCTCAAACGTTTTTTATACATTCAGGACACATGTTAACACAATCAACCCTTACACCAATCTTGTGAGATAGATGCTATTATGAGCCCCATTCACAGACACGGAAACCAAGGCACGAGGTGGTAAATATGGCTCCAGATTCTACACCCTTAACTGCTGCACCGCACAACTCCTCAGGCTGAAGATGAGGCAAGTCAAGAAGCGACCCGCGGGCCGGGTGTGGTGGCTCATGCCTGCGATCCCAGGACTTTGGGAGGCTGAGGCAGGCTGATCACTTGAGATCAGGAGTTCAAGACCAGCCTGGCCAACATGGCGAAACTCCATCTCTACTAAAAATACACAAATTAGCTGGGCGTGGTGGTGCACGCCTGTAATCCCTGCTACTTGGGAGGCTGAGGCAGGAGAATTGCTCGAACCCACGAGGCGGAGGTTGCAGTGAGCTGAGATCGTGCCACAGCACTCCAGCCTGGGCAACACAGCAAGACTCTGTCTCAAAAAAAAAAAAAAAAAAAGTGAACTGCAAAGAACCAGGCAGGTGTCCTGGGCTCCCAAAGACACAAACTCACCTGCCCTGCCATGGATGCACAGGGGAGCACACACCGCTCCAGGGCACACCATCACTACACCCACCGCATCCCACTCCCCCCAGGACAGGAGGTGATGGAGTATGAGCCGGTGTGAGGGCTACTTCTCTGCAGGCAGGCAGTGGGAGGGAGGGGACCCTCCTTGTGCCACTGGTCCTGCCCACGGCCAGTCCTGGCTGGACACCATCAGGCCTGCTGCCAGGGGAGGGAGAGGAGCCGGCTCCCTGCAACTTCCCACGCCTGGGCCTGGCTTCTGGGAGAGAGGGTGAACACAGGGGGGCCAGCAGTTGCTGAGCACCTCACTCCTGTAAACGCTCGGTAGGGAACTGGTGGCTGGACCTTCCCTGTCAGTGTTGGTGGTGAGACTTCGGGGTGGACCTCCATAGCAGGAGGCAGACAGATGGCCAGGATGGCTACGTGACTGCCTCTCCCCTGAACCCCCCAGGAAACAGGTGTCCCGCCCAACCCCTGCCCCCAGCCTGGATACGGCCCAGGAATGATCATTCCCCCACCCTGCTGACCCAGATTCTATTCCTGGCCTGCAGTCGAGGGAGGGCAAGACTTCCATCATTCCTGCCCTCCACTGGTCCTAGAGACACAGGCCTCTGATTTCTTCTCCGGTAATACAGAAAAGAACACATGAGGCCGGGCGCAGTGGCTCACACCTGTCATCCCAGCACTTTGGGAGCCGAGGTGGGTGGATCACCAGAGGTCAGGAGTTTGAGACCAGCCTGGCCAACATGAAAACCCTGTTTCCAGTAAAAACACACAAAAAATTAGCAAGGTGTGGTGGTGCACGCTTGTAATCCCAGCTACTCAGGAGAATCACTTGAACCAGGAGGCGGAGGTTGTAGTCAGCCAAGATCGCGCCCACAAGAGTGAGACTCCATCACACACACACACACACACACACACACACACACACACACACACGACTGCAGGCAAGGGAGCTCCTATCACCACAGGCTGGGAAAATCAGGCTTGTCTCCCACTCCCTGGTTCCCCAACCCCGCCTCCCCAGGGCTATTTAGATTAGGTCTAAACTTAGCCCTTTCAAGCATGGTCTAGCCTGGGTCTTCACCCTGGGTCTTGCCTCAGTGCTCCCCACCAGGGACTAAACTCACTTTCCGCTGGGGTTTCACCCAGGGCCCCTGCACAGAGTCTAGCCACAGCAATTTTTTGCTGGGGTCCAACCTGAATATTATTCATAGGGAAGTCTAGCATCAGACCCTCCACTGCGAACAGACCACTGCTTTCCGCAGCAGCCCTTTCTAGCGGCAAGTTCTCCTCTGAACACTCAAGTTCCTTGCCTTTCCACTGGGATCTACCCTCGGATCTAGATCTTTCCACAGGGGTCTCATTTCAGCCCTCTGCATTTGGGGTCTCCCCTCAATTCACTAGCTGGGGTCTAACCTCAGCTCTTTCCCTTCCATTCTACGGTCTATTCCACAGGAGTTTAACGTCAGCCTTTCTGCTAAGGTGTCAGCTCACTTCTTTTTTATTTATTTTTTTGAGACAGAGTTTTACTCTTCTTGCCCAGGCTAGAGTGCAATGGTGCGATCTTCGCTCACCACAAACACTGCCTCCCGGGTTCAAGCGATTCTCCTGCCTCGGCCTCCTGAGTAGCTGGGATTACAGGCATGTGTCACCACACCGGGCTAATTTTGCATTTTTAGTAGACACGGGGTTTCTCCATGTTGGTCAGGCTGGTCTCATTTTTTTCTCTTCAGGTCTACCCTGGGGGTCTAGCCTCCGACCTGTATCTGGGTCTAGCCTTGGATTCCCTATCCCCCAAATCCCTCTCCCTCAATTCCTCTCGGTGAATCCAGCATCCAACACAGAGCCAGGCATACAGCAGGTGCTCACCAAACGCTTGCTGAACCAAAGAATCAAGACAACTGGGAAAACAATGTTCTTCTGGACGTATAAATAACCACCAAGTGGCCAGTTCTCATCGAGAGTGGACAGGGTGGGACGGGATCATCCCCGCTTTCAAATAGGGACACTGAGGCACAGAGAGAGAAGTGGGTTAGCTGGGGTCCCAGGGCACAAATTCACCACCTTGGGGAGGTCTGGGGAGAGCATCCAGTCTTTCAGGACACCCCCCAGCAGCGGCTGGAGGTGGGTTCGCCGTGAGTCACCCCGGGTGCGGGAAGAGCGGGTGAGTGGGTGCTTAAGAGCCTGCGTCCTCCAAGCCCTGTAGCCGACGTCTCCTCTGCTCCACTTGATGTCGAAGCCGGGTCAAGACCAGCTCTGAGGCCTGGAGGAGGCTGTGCTGTGGGGAACAAGAGAAGGAGGGGATAGAGCTGAGGAAGAGGTGTGGGGTAGACCGTGGGGTGCAGATTAGACCATGGCGGGATGGCCTGGAGTGAAGCAACTCCAAAAGCCAGGAGCTCGGCCCAGTGGGAGGACAGAGGGCAGCCCACGGTGTGTGGGAAGGGAAGGGGCCTGTGATCGGGGTGAAGGCTAGACCACAGGGCAGTGGCCTTAAGCAGTTGTCTAATAGGAGGGACAAAGTCTAGACCCAAATGTAAGGAAGTGAGGTTAGAATTTGATGGGAGGAATACAAAAATTAGCCGGATATGGTGGCGGTGCCTATCACCCCAGCTACTCGGGAGGCTCAGGCAGCAGAATGGCTTCAACCCGGGAGGCGGAGGTTGCAGTGAGCAGAGATTGCTCCACTGTACTCCAGCCTGGGCGACACAGTGAGACTCTGTCTCAAAAAAAAAAAAAAAAAAAAAAAAAAAAAAAAAGCAGGGTGCAGTGGCTCATGCTTGTAATCCCAGCACTTTGGGAGGCAGAGGTGGGGAGATCGCCAGGTCAGGAGTTCAAGACCAGCCTGGCCAACATGGTAAAACCCCGTCTCTACTAAAAATACCAAAATTAGCTGGGTGTGGTGGCGTGTGCCTGTCATCCCAGCTACTCGGGAGGCTGAGGCAGGAGAATCACTTGAGCCCGGGAGGTGGAGGTTGCAGTGAGCCGAGATTGCACCACTGCACTCCAGCCGAGGTGACAGAGCAAGACTCCGTCTCAAAAAATAATAATAAATAAAAATAAAACTCAGTCAGTCTCCTTCACCAGGCAGTGCCCCAGCCCTGCTGCTGTGAGCACTCACAGCTGCCCCTTTCCCCTGCGAGTTGTCCTGTCTGCCTTCCAGAACCGAGCTGCCCGGAACTGCAGCGGCTGACTCCCCGCCAGCCCTGAGAGCCGGGGTTACCTGCAGGATGTGCACGCCCTTCAGGGAGACCACGGCCAGTTCCTGCAGCCCGTCCCCGGTCAGGTCCACGTGAGCCATGGCCAGCAGTGGACTGGAGAAGCTCCGCTGCCACAGCAGGCGGAACCCACGCTGGGCCCCGGGGAGCCCCGACTCTGGCCCTTGGTACTTATAACACAGCAGTTCCTGCAGGGGTGAAGAGTCGGGGTCACACAGGTTGAAGGGGGGACAGTGGAGGGAGGCCCGTGGGTGGGGACTCCAACCGTCCCGTCCCACCTGTCCATAGGTGGCCACCAGGACTTCTGGCCGCCCATCCAAATCCACGTCGGTGACCAGGCCACAGAGGACGCTGTCAAATTGGTCACTACCGGGCAGGAGCAGCTGGTCTTCCAGGCCGCGGTTCAGCAGGTCCCTGAGGGTTCCAAATGCAGCAGAGAGACTGGGGTCAGCCTGCGGTGCCTGCCACCCTTGGCAGATGCTGAGCTGGTACCGGTCCTGTTTCCCTTCCAGGTCTCAGGAAGCCGAGGCACCATCATCTCGGATTTGGACATGTTCACAGACCCAGCAAGGGCTCAACCTGTCACTCAAGCCGTTCGCCTCCAGCCCATCTCACTCCCAAATGGAAAGCCACAGTGTCCCACTGGGGACTCAGACGCATGCGCCCTCAATCTAGTCGCCCATGCTGCCTTCATGGAGCCCGAAGACAGCTTGGCCCTGGCTTGGACACCTTCCCCACCCCTACACGGGTGCCAGAGCTGGCCACAGTCGCTTCCAAGCGCTGACTGGGAAATATCCCCATGTCATCAATTCATGGCTCACAGCCCACCGCGGTGGGAGTATTTACACTTTGGACACTCGGGTAAATGCTTCACACCTGGGCTTTCCCCGGGCAGAGCCAGTAATTAAACATTTGCCAGCACACCCACTATCTCCCCTCCAGCGGGCGAGGGCGTCTCTGCTCCCATCCTCCCGCCTCAACGTATTCCCAAGTCTGTACTTCAATATTCACAGCCCCGCCCCTGGGTCACAAGTATCTTTCTTTCTTTCTTTCTTTTTTTTTAAAGATGGGGGTTTTACCATGTTGGTCAGGCTGGTCTCGAACTCCTGACCTCAGGTGATCTGCCCGCCTCAGCCTCCCAAAGTGCTGGGATTACAGGTGTGAGCCACTGCACCTGGCCCACAAGTGTCTTTACTTGTCCAGGTCTGACTAAACCACCCAATGGAACTTACTGTGGAGAATGACGAGGTTAGACCACAGTGGAAAGAAACAAGGTTAGACCACACCCATGGGTCTCAGGCCCCCTCACCGGTACACCACGGCTGGCTCCAACATGCTGGCCACGAGCACGCTGTACTCATCTTGTGGTGGCCTGTCCTTGGTCTCTGGAGAAGAAACATGAATGGTAATCCCAACACTTTGAGAGTCCGAGGTGGGTGGATCAGTTGAGGTAAGGAGTTCGAGACCAGCCTGGTCCACACGATGAAACCCCACCTCTACTAAAAATACAAAAATTAGCCCGGCGTGGTGGTGGGTGCCTGTAATGCCAGCTCCTCCGGAGGCTGATGCCAGGAGCATCGCTTGAGTTGGGAGGCGGAGGAGGCAGTGAACTGAGACGGCACCACTGCACTCCAGCCTGCGCAACAAGAGCGAAACTCTTGTCTCAAAAAAAAAAAAAAAAATAAAATAAATAAAAAATAAAAAAAAATAAAAAATAAAAACATTAAAAAAAAAAAAAAAAAAAAAAAAAAAAAAAAACTTGCCGTGTATGTTTACAACAGCCCAATTCACAACTGTGAAGGTGTGGAACTAAGCTGCGTGGCCATCGACGAATGAGTGGAGAAAGAAAATGTGGCATATATACCCCCAGAGTACTACTCAAGCCACAAAAAGGAATGCAGCATTGTCTTCTGCGGCGACTTAGATGGAGCTGGAGGCCATTATTCTAAGCGCAGTAACACAGGAGCGGAAAGCCAAAAAAAGTATGTTCTCACAGAAGAAGGAGCTAAGCTCTGAGTATACAAAGGCATACAGAGTGTACAACGGGCTTTGGAGGCTCAGCAGGGGGAAGGAGGGAGGGGTGTGGGCTAAAAAGTACACATTAGGTACAACGAACACTACTCAGGTGATGGGTGCATGGAAATCTCAGAATCCACCATTGTATAATCCATCCATGCAACCAAAACCGCTTGTGCCCCCAAAGTGATTGAAATTTTAAAAAATCTTTTTTTTTTTTTTCTTAAATATGGAGTCTGAGCTCTGTCACCCAGGCTGGAGTGCAGTGGTGCGATCTTGGCTCACAGCAACCTCTGCCTCCTGGGTTCAAGTTATTCTCCTGCCTCAGCCTCTTGAGTAGCTGAGACTACAGGTGCCCATCACCATGCTTAATTTATTTTTATTTTTATTTTTTCAGTAGAGACAGGGTTTCACCATGTTGGCAAGGCTGGTCTCAAACTCCTGACCTCAGGTGATCCGCCCCCCTTGGCCTCCCAAAGTGTTGGGATTACAGGTGCCTGCCACCATACCCAGTTACTTTTTGTATTTTTAGTAGAGACAGGGTTTCACCATCTTGGCCAGGCTGATCTTGAACTCCTGACCTCGTGATTCATGTGCCTTGGCTTCCCAAAGTGCTAGGATTACAGGCATGAGCCACCGTACTCAGCCTAATTTTTGTATTTTTAGTAGAGATGGGGCTTTGCCATGTTGGCTAGGTTGCTCTCGAACTCCTGACCTCAGGTGATCCACCCTCCTCAGCCTCCCAAAGTACTGGGATTACAGGTGTGAGCCACGGTGCTCGGCCAAACATTTTTTTTAAAAAGCAAAATACCAGTCAGGGACAGACTCCAATAAAGGAGCAGGAACGATCCACATGTTGGGGAAAAGGCTAGACCCTGGGTGATGGGGCAGCGGTGAGGCCAGGAGCATAGCCCAGGACTAGACTGCAGCAAGAGACACGGTGAAGCAGCCACAGAGCGGGCGAGTAAGTCCCGAGGTGAGACGTGCAGATCAGGGCACAGAAGGAGAGGTGGACGCTCAGCCCTAGGCTACGGGGCTAAGGTTACGCCAAAATGAGAACCACTGTGAACCCTACCAGAGAAGACAGGGCTTAGCCTCATGTTTTAGTTGTGCAAGTGAAATTCACAGAGAGGGGAGGGGAGAGAAGAGGCGTTCTGTAGCTCAAGGTCTGGAGTCGGGGAGGCACGAAGGAGGGACTGGGGCCTGGACACTTTGGGAGAGAGTGCAAATTTGGGGGGAAGAGCCAAGCAGGCAGCTTAGCCTCCTCCCCTCAGCCCCCTCCGCCCACCGCTGTCTCCCCATCCCCTCAAACCCAGAGCTCACCCTTGGGGGCCGAGAGGCTGAACACGATCACTCGGGAGATGGGGCCGTCCTGCAGGACCGACCACGTCTGCAGAACCTCTGCGTGGAGAGCAAGGACTCAGGGCCCCAGCCCCACTATGGTCCCGCCCCCCGCCCTCAAACCCCTGCCCTTCCTCCCCCACCTGTCAGCCTCATCCTAGCCCCAAACGCGGCAGCTTTCAGACCCACCATAGCCCCGTCCCCAAGCCCCACCCTCATCTGTCAAAGCTTTCCCCTACCCCACCCAGCTCCAGCCTTCAGTCCCATCCCCAAGCCCCCCCCCTCCCCTACACCACCCA